ATACTTTTTCTGCTATAAGATAATAGATATCATGTGGTAACTAAAAATATCTTTCTCTCTTTAATATATCAATTATTGGCAGCTGTATATGCAATCCATATACTGTAGAAAGTTCTTTATATCTTGTTATTGTTAGTGCTGCAAAGATTTCTTCAAATTAGTTATCTGTAAGATAATGATAACAGAAAACTAATGATAAATCAAGACCTTCAGAAGTCCATAAGTCTTTTGGTGTATTGCAAGTATAATATCCTCTTATAGCACTATACCTTTTAACTCTGGCTAGATCATTGCCTTGCAGCAAATCTGCAGTTATATCACTAAGGCTTGCAAATACAAGACTTTTAGTTTCTTGCATATTTATTATTATTTCTTTTTCTAGTTGTTTCATTTTATTAATAACAAAAGGTCTAAAAAATTCATTAAAACAATCTTTAAATAAAATAAACCCAAGTACAAAATAATTCTTGAGTTGTTTTTTTTTATCAAAGAGTAAATTTCTAATTTGAACATAAACACCTCCCAGTGAATAGTAGATATTACAGAATATTCCAAAATCATCATAATAAAAATCGATATATAGTTTGTAAAGTGAAAGATTTGTTTCTAATATTAACAACACAGCAAATTCTGATGAATATTTATAGAAGTATATAATATCTCTTATCTTCCAATATTCTCGATGTTTATAAAGAATTTCATGAATAAAAACAGAAGATGTATTTATATAGTCTTTATTGTAAAGTATAACTACTGTAATAGATTTGACAATATTTTGTAACTCAACAAGTATAATTGTATTTTCCATTTCTCAATTTAATAACCACAATTCATTATGTGATATTTTTTTTCGATTATTACTCTGCAAGTTATTTGGCAATTCTTCAAATATTAGAATATGTTTAACTGTTATTTTAAGCTTTTTATCTGTATCTACTATTGTTAAAATTTGACTAAATTTATTTTTTGCTCTCAACTCTTTATAAACTATAAATTTGCCATATTTATATGTTGCTAAAAATTAATAATATAATTAATACCACAATTTTATCACACACAAAAATAAACTGTTTAATAAATAATTTACTTCTATTAATTATTATAGATGCTTGTCCAAATCATGAAGATTTCTTTCATAAATTGCTGTGCCAAAGTTCTTTATTTTTTTTGACATTTGGCTAAACAATAAAGTGTTATTAAGAGAATGCCAAATTACTGTATATAAGTAATAGATAAATAATATGCTTCTTTAGTGTTTTTAGATATAGACAGTGTTTTTTGTTTAAAATAGAAATATTTCATATTCTGATTGGAAGTAAAGGTAATCATTACCAATACTTCTTAAACTAATGAATATTTATTACAAAATCTTCACTTCTAAACTATATTCACTAATTTATCATAAGCTTGAGTGGCTATTTAATACATATAATATATAAATTTTGTTAAATTTTTAATAATAATGTAACTTCTGAATGCAAGATTTTTTACAAAAGTAGACTCCTATACACTATACCCAGTAAAAACTATGAAATCTATAATACACAAAGTGCAGTTTTTTTTAAAAATCTAGGCTTTCAGTTAAAAATATACATGCCTTTTTAATTTTTTTTTATAATACAACCTCTTAACCATGCATATATTCAGGTCTATTATAGGTTTTAAATTGATGGAATGTAAGAAATCTTAGACAATAGATTTTCTATACATACATATATTATGTTTTTGAATCTAGCAAAATGTTAATGCTTTGATGATATTTTAAAAATATAGTGCAAATTCACTGCTAATAGATAGCATTTCCTCAATATTTGATGCCTCATTAATAATTTTATCAGTTTCTTTTTCATTTGGCATGAGATTACTAAAATCAGTTTGCATTTCACCATCAACTATTTCATTATTAAAAAAACTTTCGATTTTCTTGTCACTCAATACTTTATTGAGTGAATATTCATACTCTTCAAATGACTATAATGATCTTTCAGATGATGCTAGTATTTCACAAAGTTCATATATTACAAAAGGCAGCAAAAAGTAGCAAGAAGAACTGGTTGCTTCATCATCTTTAAATAGTTATAACAGTACACAAAATAAAAAAGAATGGAAGAGAATACAAAAAAAAACAAGAGATGGTAGTATCTCAATTATCACGAATAGTTACTGAACTTTTAGAAAATAATCTTAATAATATCAATACTACT